TTCTCTAGTAACTATCACCTACAGCTTTTCTCCCTGTCTTATGAACAAAGTACATTTTAGTACTAGAAAGTTTCTCACTGTGGATAGACTTGCAAACCGGTCTAAGCAATACCATTAAGAAAGAGATCAACACTACAAATACGCAGAACTGTAGAAGTCGGGTTGTTTTTAACACATCCTTTTTGACCCATTCAGGTGCAGTGGATAAAAAAAAAGCCAGCAGCTTGGAAATTTCCTAGTAATTTTGTAGTAAACCTAAAACAGCCAGGCCTTCATAGACACCAAGTTCAGACTGCAGCAGGGAAGAACAACGCAGAGGGCAAAGGGAAGACCACGTCTCATGCCTCGCAGCTGAGTTTATGAGCTGAAAAGAGCCCCAGTGCAGCTCTCGCTGACAGTAAGTACTCCAAATATTCAGGGTCAGGGCTTGCTCGTCTCAGTCACACAAGAAACTGCCCGGAAATGCRGTGACACATTTAGTACGAGTTAGCTTGCATGACCAGAGAGGGACTACTAGTAACCTTTGCAAAATTAAAAACTCCTGTTAGGTTATCTTCATAGCAGAGGAGTGATCCTTATGTTGTGAGCGATTTAAAAGTTTGTTCAGTTCCAGTTTACAAGTAAAAGGAAATGAGAAGGTAAAGATAAAAAAAATGATTTAAATATTAACCCAACCAGAAAACAAAAAGCTCACATGTTACTACATGAGTTTACTTCACAGCATTTACAAATTAGTCCCTTATCTCTTGGAGAAAAGGGTTTGCTTGTTCCAACAAAAGCATTTAAAAAGCGAGCCTGGGAGCGCGGAGCCRTAAGCACTGAGAGGAGTCAGTGTCTCAGCGTGGGAAGGATCCTCTCARGGGGAGCAAGAATCTCTGTACGCGAGGGCTGACGTCAGTGGAAGTGGGAGGGAAACGGGGATGGGGAGGTTTGTCAGGGAAACGATTGAGGACGGTTGCAGTGGGAATGGGGAGGAAGGAGGAGAACGTGGGACGGCCTCAGTGGAAGCAGGGACAGTGCACAGGGGAGTTGGAAAGGGAGGGAGGGCTCGCGTGTTCCAAGGGGCAGGAATTACCAGAACAGGCAGGAAAAGAGTAGACAGCTTGAGAAGCCAARTCATGTACAGCTACAGGCTGAAATGAGAGCCAGTTCGGCACCAAAGACACAAATTAACATTCAGCCTTCTATATACAGAATTATGCAACTGCTGATTCACAGCGACGGCAAAAGTAACTGGCAATTTCACAGGTTTGGAATGAAGAAAACTTACTAGCAGTAATGCTGTGGATTTAAACTGGTTGTCTCATATCAGCTGATATATCAAATGTTGCTGGCTTAGGCCAACTTTTAATTCAAAATAAGGGAAGTTTGGATTCACTGATCTCTTTGCACCCAAATGCACAAATTTCTGTTAAATATTTGCAAGAAAGAGTTATGTAAGAGGAGGAGGAGGAAATCACACATGTGAAAGGAGGACGAGGTAAAATAAATATAAAATATTTGTGTTAGACAGTATGTTAATGCTCAGTAGAAGACTGACACACAGACATGACGACAGGACAGCATTTCCCCAGGAAGCCTGAGCCTGTTTTACACAAATGCTCGTGAAGTCCTTACACTGTGGCAGCATTTGCTCTGCTTATGTTGCTACAAATCAACAAGTATCACATTAGAAATATTTCAGGGGATTTCTGTTAAGCCCAAGTACATTGAACTACACAGACATCTAAAGAGGAAAATTAATTTCATGCCTTAATTAAGGCATGAAAAAATAGAATATAACAATTCTGAGTCTGCTTTTTTGAGACTTGGAGACTAACAACCCTGGAAACCTCTTCTTTACTGTGCAAGTTTCCTTTAATATACTCCCACCACAGCCCTGTACAAGCAGTACTGCTATCGAGTCTACATCGCGCACAGCTTTCACTAGTAAAAATACAGGTATTTAGCCGTGGAATATACATTTTGAAGATTAAAGGAAGGTTTTCCATGGTTAATTCACTTTTTACACTCAGCATTTATTCCAAGCTGCTCAGAAATTTTCAGCTGAAAGCCACATACAAAATTACTATTTAAGGATAGAGATACGGGTGACACTAACAGATGATCCTTGTAACAAATCATATTTGATAATTACATACTGTCACCATGCCTATATATACACACACCGAGATTAGGGATTACTGTGTATATCTGTGCACAAACACTTCAGAACTACTCTGCCAGTTTACTGTGGATAAATCTAGGTTGTTCAGCATTAGGAAAGACAAGGTAACTTATCCAGTCACATTTTGTGAACGATGCAAATCACAGACCATAGCGTGATGACACCACACACACAAAAAACTGATTGTCTACCATTTGATTAGAGGAAGGACATAGTAACACATAAATATAACATCAGAATAAATCTTAGGGCTAATTAGCAATATATATATATATATATATAATGACATTTTACAGTTAACATTCCTTTTATCTTTTTATAACACTGAGGTGAAAATATATACTACAGCTAACAAACTGATTCTATCAAAGTCACTGTAACACCTATTGCACGTATTTTAGTAAACCATGCTAATTCTAGCAAACATGTGGGCCAATAGCTAACAAATTGTTCTAGCTAACAAATGGGCCAATTTCATTCTTAGCTCTCATACAGGACTTTCTTGACATTAATCTGTGCATTTACCTCCAAAAAAAAAAATGTGCATGAGCTTCCATTACAGTGCCCCGAACTGAATTAAAAATGCCATTGAGGCAGATTACTGGTTACCCACACAAATTCTGATTACAACACCAAAGCACAACAGGTACAAAGCATCTTCTAGCTACTCGAGGCATCAGAAAGGGCCTATGTGCCACTTTACAGAGTAGCAATAATTTGCAGCACCACCCTAATTCTCCCAGTTCTGTCACAGATAGAAATACTTTTAACTTCAAAACTGCACAATATCCTGCCCAAGGCTACTTTTAGCTTCAATGATTTCAGTCCCCTGTCCCTTATCTTCAAGGTGTTCACATCTTGTATCCTTCTAAACTTCCCTGTACTGTGAAGAGAGAACCTGCAGAAGTGCAGCTCTCTCCAGCACAACTTCTGAGACAACACAGTTAAACTTTAGCACTGTAAGTATTGCATATCTAATCACGAGATGCCCACTAACGATAAAAGCACAGAATAAAATACCATGCTGCCTTATATTTGAGGAGTATTATAGGATTTTACACATGTAAATCTTAAAAATAGGTTTCATTCAGATTTTGACCTAAATTGATCACAGATTCCACTCTCATTTTTCAAAACCCACAGTTTTGTGGAAATATTTTTATAGTAATGACAAGAGTTGATGATACCACTGAATAATAAAAACCAGAATAACTGCCAATGCAATCACGGTACACGTTAACCAAAATCATAGAGCATCTGGCTGAATCATGCACACATAGTAACAAGTAGTTTTTACAGTTATTTATATCAAACAACAAAACGTAATAAAACTAAGTTTGCTTCCCATCCATGATTACAGAAAGAGGTTGTTTTCTGCCTCGAGAAGTACACAGAAGTAAAAAATCACACAGTATAAACTTCAAGAACTTTTCATTTAAATTTGTTAAGGTACAACTGAAAACTAAACAAGCAAAACAATTGTCAGGATCTTAATGGTAATTTAAGTTTCTCCACTAAGTTTTCCAAGATTGCCTAAGYGAGTCTTTAGTGCATGAACTTGCCGTAAAGTCCAGTTTCCTGGACTGAACAGTCCTACTAACACGGACTTTCAGTTTAACGTGACACCCCTCGCCTTTGTGTTGTTTTAGGTATTACTCATTCTTTCTTCAACTTATTCTATATAGAACGTATCCACATATTCCACTTTTTTTTTTTTAATCTTATGAATTGAAAATATTAAATCTAGAAGAAAAGAAAAGAAAATCACCCAAGGTACTGGCAAAAATTGTTCCAGGCCAGTGCTCTACAAGTTGCCTTAATAAGCACAAAGAATCCTAAGAAAACTGCAAATTATTAGAGCTTCTGTAGGCCTGCAAAACAGTTCACATTTTGGTAGTTACTGACTTCCTCTTAAGCCTGTACCTTATATTTAAGACATATTTGTTATTGTACTAAGCAGAGCTGATGAGCCATATTATACAATATCCCTGGGAAGCTCCTTTTTTTTTTCCCCTAACAATTGCAATTACTTGTTTTTGCAAAAAGAAACAATTCTCAAAAATAAATAGATAACCAAAAGGCTACAGTATTAGGAACTAAAACGTAACCTATAAACCACTAGGCCATCAGTGAAAAGTAAAGAGGAAAGCAAATCCTCGGCACCACCAACTCTTTCACCTGAAAACCCCACAGATTGCCATTTCTTTTTGGTCAGGGTCTCTCTACAGCACACAGGTCTCATGCTGCACCTCTGTGCAAATGTACCCACACGGACACACACCCACAAATATGCTAGAAAATGTCCTACATGCAGCAACACACAAGGTCAACAAGTTGTTAATGAAATCAGTAGCTAGAGCAAGAACCGCTGTCCTCTCATCGCCACTTCCCGAAGGGAAGACGGAGGCACACGAATTCCCCAGCCCATCCAGGTGGCTGCTCTGGGCTGTGCTGGCCGAGAAAGGCGAGCGGGGACCGGGAGCGCCCAGTGCCCAGGGCCGTGTTGGAGCGCGGCTCCCGCACCACAGCCCCAGCAGCGCGGGGCCCTCCGCGCTCCCCGCGCCCGCACCCCGCGCTCAGCCACCAACCACGACAATCAACTGCTCTGCTCCGTCGCGTCAAGAAACTCCTTCTATGGAACCAAGAACGAGGCTTGGGAGCATCCAGAGAGTCGATTCGTGAGACCGACCGGTTTATAAACGAAAATAACAGCTCAAGCAAGGAAAACTCTCCCGCAATGTAACGCTTAGGCAGGGAGACTCCTCGGGTTAAATCGCTACAGCCAGCCCCTGTTCTGAGAGAAACAGGGCTTACATTTCGCACCCTTTTTTACCTTAACACTGGATCTGCTGGTCTGAGTCTCTGCCTCCATGCTCTGGCTGTTCTCTCTCTTGTCTTTCTTAGAGGAATTAGTCCTCACCTTATAAGTGGATGTGTTGGAGGATTTAATGAATAATCCTGGGACGGGGTTGCCTTGCTGCTGTTGAGACATGGTTGTGTTGGTCTGGTGAGGAGAATTGCACTCCTCGGACTCTTTGCTACTGTGATAGACCACTCTGCTGTCAGAGATGTGGATGCTTGGAGCACAGCCCATGCTTTGTGGCCACCTGGGGAATATTTCTAAGTTGTATATATATATATATATTTGTGGATATATATATAATTTCTTTCCTTTCCGTTGGTATTTCCCCTCTGCTTATTTTTTTGTTAACAGGTTGAACATCTTTCCTGCGTCTCCGCTACACTCTGAAGCATTGTCATCAGTCCCTTCTACACCACCAGAAATGTGTCTGTTCTCCAGGTCCTCCAGGAAACGGGTCCTTTCAGCTCAACCTCAGGAGTGGGTTGGGGAGGGGAGGGAAATCAAGAACTGGTCGACTTCATCTTTTCACAGATTAATATTAAATTTTTCTAAGCCATCTGAGAATCTCAGCAGGGTTTTCTTTCCTTCTGGGGAAGAGGAAGAAAAAAAAAGGCAGAAAAAAAAGCAAAAGTAAAAAAAGAAAAAAAAAATTAAGAAAACCCAGTCCCCAGAGCCACACACACCCCAGCGTCTTCCCGGGCTAGGCGCTCAGCGCGGCCGGGGGCTTTGCGCCATCTCCTCGCTGCCAGTCCGGCGCGCGGCGCATTTTGCACCGGGCGCTGCTCGGCGTTACCGATTAACCCGGGGCCGGGGCCGCTCCCGCCGCCTCTTCCGCGCTCACGCTGCGCTCTGCCCCGCGGTCCGGGTGGAGGCTGGGGGTGCAAGGGGGGCAAAGCGGTGGCGGCGGGAGCCGAAAATAAAAAACAGATATAAAAAAAAGGCAAGAACGCGCGGCCGCCCGCGGAGCCGCGTGCGCTCCTCACGCCGCGCAGCGCGCGTCCCGCGCCGCCTCCTCCTCCTCCTCCGTGGCGGCGGCGCCGGGCGGCCGCCGCGGGGGTGACATTCACGTCGCTGTCGTCGGAAGGAAGAGCCCCCGGTCAGGCGCCTGGCGGCCGCCGCCGCAGCGGCCCTGGCAGCCGAG